GAAGGGAAATTGAAAAGATTAAAGAGCTTACTCTTCGAAAAAGAGGGAAGATCAGCTTTGAGTTTTTTGTTGATAAGTGTTGGAGAGATTAAATTACTTACGAGGTGCTAGACTAGCAATACCAGCTTCAACAAACTCCGGAAACTGAGATTCGGCAGCGCATCCGATGTTAGAAATTAGAAAAAGCCAAAGAAATATTCTTGTTTGAAAGAAGTCACATACAGTGTGAGGCACAGTTCTTCGGTACCAAACTCCACTAGATCCTGGAGGAAAACGACTACTTCCATGAGTGTATTGACCAGTGGAGTCTTTGTGAAATCCGAAGAAAGTATCAATAGTATCGACAAGGGCAGGGCCAGGCTTTCCGTTCTCTTCAGAGGAAGGTATAAGGGTTGAAATCAAATTTTGAGCCGCATAGAATGCAAACCTGGGGAAAGTTTGTGATGATCATCAATCAACTTGTTCAAGAGTCATCAGGGAAATATTGCTTCTTACTGGTCAACAACAGCCTGAAAGGATCATCAAGTTCATCAGTATCAGTCGAGAAGTAGATGTAAGTTTGATAAGAAACTCACCCAATGACATTCAGGATTCATGTCTCGGCATTCTTTGTACTAATTGAGCAAGAGGAGGGAGAAAAGAGTGAGCCTTGAGTAGATTTGTGTAGTTAGAGGAGCTTGCTCTTGAAGACCTACCTGAATGGATCGGACTTCTGAATTCCAAGGAATTGACATGACACCATCGTATTTCTCAACTAGGGAAACAAGAGAAAAGTAAGTAACCATTCTCAATGGTACTGAAGCTAGTAAGACCGATCTACTCACCAGCAATTTGTCTCCATCGGTTCCATCGGGTTCCATTGAAGTGAGACCTTTTATCAGGTGCAAAATAAGCATCATCACCTCCCAAAGACCCATCAATCTCATATTTATTATGCGCTTCGGCAGAAAACAATCCAGGAGCGGTTCCAAGAAGAACACTAAGTGGTCCATCTGTTCTAGAATCTGTTCTTCCTATTGACATTTTCAAACTGCCCCGTAGACGTCATCCGATCAGGTTTTCGGTTGCTCACATTTCGAGACTTAAGAGCAACTGTCACTCACGTTGTAAGATCGACGCAAGTTTTGAGCGCAAAGGCAATCAAGACTAAAGTGAAGTCAGGAGCAAGGCTGAATAGAAAAGCCATGATATCAACGAAATCGTATCTGAGAGAGGAGTAAGCTTTTGAAACTGACCCCAGTCCTTCTTGCAAGCCATACGCCAGCTGAGTCATATCGGTGATACCATTACGAGGGATCTGTAAGAAGTGATGAATCAGTTCAGTTTATATTATTAAAGCCAAGTATACCAATACTATCACTAACATATCCATGATTAGCCATGATGTTGAGTCCAGGGCACAATCCTGATCAAAACGGATACATGAAAGTCAGTTACAATTACAAAAAGGTAAGAATGAGATGGTTTGCGCATACCACGAACATCTCCTGGACCAGGTTCCTAGTGAAGATTAAAAAATCAGTCTCGATCCCCCCCCAAAAAATCTACTGAAGGAGAACTCACCATGAATTCGTGTTCGGCGTCA